AGCTAGTCATCACCACCCACCGCCAACTCTTGGGCTACTCTTTTACCAACGAATAGTGGGATTGACCGTCACATTATAACGCCCCCACGGCTGAAAGGGCGTGCATGTTTGGTGGGATGCGGATTCGAACCCGCGACCCTCAGATTGTGAGTCGAGCGCCTTATCCACCTGGCCATGCCGGGCCCAACAACTGTATAACCAACGTATAACAAATCAAATTGTATATTATGTGGCGTTTCGAGCAACCGCTCTTCGTCGAATTTCTAAACACAGCATTATCAGGAATATGTACAATTAACAACGACTCATCTGCCAGTAAAACTCGTCATTTGGTTTTCTTTATTGTTATCGACCAATCATATAAAACACGCAGCCAGATGAGACTATCCGATTGATTCAATAATGATTAACATCGAAGCTGCTAAATAGCTTCATCTCAAGACCTTGTTGCCTACGAGAACTAATGTTGTATGGTCATTAATGGTTCGTTTGAGGACTATTTAATGAGTTGTTTTAGATTCGATGCGTCGTAACTTGTCCGTTTTCTGATAATACGTTGGAAGGCATGGGGGTTGGATGAAAAACGGGTCAAATAATTCTCGGTATTGAGTACCGGCATTAAAATAACTTCCAGTATTCTCTGTAATAACAATAATTGATATGGTAGCGTTGTTTCACAGAGTCATATGAATTTACCATCAGCATCTCCGTTATAAAACATATAGTTACTTAAAAAAAACAAAAACTCATTGCCATTTTCAATTTGAACAATCCCTCGATGGGACGATGGTAATTTTACCGACTTACAACGTTAAAATTCAGGATTCGATTCCCCGTGGTAAGTACAGCACATGGGCGTCAAGTGGGAACTTGCCCCCCCCCCTGGAAAATGAGAAACAAAATTATTTCTTTATTCATCCAGCATATGTATATGAATGTTTTATTCACTTCACAATTTCACACTACTTTGCTCTCCCCCTGGAAAAATTTCTACCTACGCCCATGATACAGCAGATAGTCCAATGAGGTTGTGGTCTATAATAAAACAAGCAAGCAATTTGAACATCAAGCTGTCATAAATCTGTTTTTACATTTGATGCCAATGAACATATTTTGAGACAATAAAGTTTGAAAACGGCTTGAATGAATACTGAAGAAAAAATTTATCACGAGTTTAACATTGTAACACGTTTTTAACGTTATACATTTATTACCGTGTTAAAGTTGTGACAAAGTTTTCTCCGTTGCCCATTCAAGCCATCTTTACACTTTTTAGCTGTTAAAACTATATACAACGAACGAAAACTAAACAATTTTATGTATATGCTTTTTATCTGCTAACTTTTTTACAAATAAAAACTGAGACTGAAACCGGTTGTTAATTTTCGGCCTTTTCTTTTAACTAATGAAGGAACTGGAAAAAACAACACTTCCTGAAATAACTGTAATTGCTGAGCTCTTTTGTATGAAACAAGTTACTGAATAATTCATAAATGTCATAAGATTTAGCTAGGGATGATATGTCATGGAAGTGAATTTGCAAGAATTTATTGTCGCCAGGGGCAATAGTCGTGAGAGAAGTTTGTTGGGGAGTGAATGGTTTGGAGAAAATTATTTAAGTTTGTTTATTTGTTTTTTGGATTTCGCACAAAGCTACAGGAGGGCTATCTGCGCTAGCCAT